CATCCTTTCTCCCCCACCCCATAGTTTAAATTTAAAAAAACCCCAACACTTACCAACTGCCGTGTGGCTGACTGGGGTCCTGCCCGCACAGTGTGGGGCAGGGTGACAGCTCCAGCGGCCCCAGCCCAGGTCCTTCTGCCCCTCTGCTGTCCTGTGCTGCCCGGGGGGCTCTGCCAGGAGGCCCTGGAGCACCCCCCCCACCCCTTCTAAGGTAAGCAGAGGCTTTCTTTTCCATTAGATTTTCTGTTTTTTCTGGGTTGTTTTTTTTTTAAGTGATGGTGCCTGGGGTTGTGGGAGCCTGGGAGTGCAAGTTGAGGAGTGAGGCTGCATGAGGCAGCCATTTGGGGATCTGGGCCAGGAGGTCGGCCACAGCCAGATGGGTCCAAGTTGGGTCCAAGTTGCCAGCTCTGAGTGGGCAGGATCCACAGTTCAAAGCAGGCCACCACACCCAGAACATCTTCCAGGCGATAGCTGCCCAGATGGCCGAGCAGGGAGCACACATGGCAGTAGTGCCACACAGAAGCCAACCGCAGTCCGCTGGCAGCCGGGCAAGATGCCTCTACTGGCTGTGCAGTCCCCATCCAGGTCTGGCAGGTGCACAGCAGGTCACAGCCAGGCCAGGACAGGGCAGCTTTTTATACTGCTGGGGACAGCACAGGTGCTGGCCCCGGGCTCTAGCTCCCCCTGGCTGAAGATCCAGGAGGAGCCAGGCAGGGTTATTTTGCCCCAAGCGGCACAATTTGCTCCACAACAAAGTGCATGTCCGAGCACATGCGCCGAAGCAAAAAGCCCCGGCTCAAATTTGCACCGCTTCTATTTGAGCTGCTGCAAGCGCACGTGCTTGCATGTGTGGACGCGCCCTTTGAGGTCACTGAACTGGAAAAAGTTTTAAAGAGCTTGAAACATGGCAAAGCTGCCAGTTACAACATCTTCCCAGAATTCTTGAAACAACTTGGGTCCTGTGCTTGCATGTGGCAGACCCACTTCCACACAAGAATCATCAGCTCAAGCTCACTTCTGAAGAGGCATATGGCATATGGTAAAAGTTACTGCCATTTGAAAATTTGACAAAGACCTCATGCCGGCAGCCAGCTACTGGGCAATTGCACAGCTGTCTGCATGCTACAAGGTCTTTGAGTACCTATTTTTACAATGGATATCCCCAGAAGTAGAGACCGTCCTTAGTGTCAATCAGGCCAGATTATGCAAGGGCCATAGCGCATGTGATCAAATACTGGCACTTACCACCTACAGCAAAAATGGTTTTCAGAAGAACCTGAAAACAGGCATAGTGCTACTGGACCTTACAGCTGTCTATGATACATTATGGCACACTGGCCTGCTTCTAAAGCTGTCAAGAGTACTTCCAAGCTGGTTTGTTGTAGTCATCAAAACACTCCTCTGTAACAGAGTCCACCTTGGGCAGGGGATAAGCACATGGAGGAGACAGGTCAATGGACTTCCACAGGGCTCAGTGCTGGTCCCAACCCTGTTCAGTTTATATATAAATGATCTACCAGCAACCACATCTTGCAAATTCATCTGTGCTGATGACATCTGCTACACCACTCAAGCTCCATCTTTCTGCACTCTGGACCAGACCCTGAACGAAAATGTGACAAAGCTGGCAGACTACTGCACCACATGACAGCTCACGCTGAGCCCTGCCAAAACTGTATCCCGGGTATTCCATCTCCACAATGCCAGTGCCAAAAAAGAACTTAACATCTATGGGGT